ACACTGGTGGCCCACGTGGCCCGATATGAACTATGCATGGTGAGGGTACACAGTCCTGTCCGTGCTCTCCAGTAAACACTGGTGGCCCATGTGGCCTAATACGAAATGTGCTCGGCACGGCTGTGTGGTCAGGCAACGTCTGTGTACGCGGCTGAGAAAATGTTCACTGACTCCGTATATCTGGCAAGACATGCTGGGTACTGGTACCTGCGTGTGCCTCTGATGCGATACGATCTGCATACTGCTCCATGGATAAAATACCAGTATGCAGAGGGGACTGAGGCCGTAGCTGTGCATCATCAGCTGCCTCGGATACAGATACACAAGTCATTGCTGCAGGGTGAGACACAGAGAGAGCAGCCTCAGGGCCCATAGCCTCCTCCATCTCCGACCACATAAATGCCAATGGATCCCATCTGTCCGCCATAGCTGCTCACTCACGCAAAAACAGCAGAAGTGCAGAATACAATAATGAATGCAGGAAGAATCCCCAAAAATCCCGGCAAAACTGATGAAGACTGAATGATAACTGACTGAGAACTGATGGTGCTGATACTGATACTGATGTAGTCGGTAGTCTGACTGCACGGAGGTCCAACCCTGGGTATATCCCAGAGCGTAGTCTCTGATGTCGCTCAGAGAAGCCCCAGGATCCACCAAATGACGTCTCCAAGTCAGTGGGTACTATACTTCCCCAACCAACAAGGTGCCAAGTGGCTTCACCACAACAGTTCCAGAACAGCCCTTTACAACCAGTTTCTTCCTAGGTTAGCAACAGGGAATTTAAGAATACTCAAAGAGTATTTTACTCACCCCTCAAAAGAGAGGCTTCCCCGCCACACCCCCGGGAATGCCACCGATTGATCAGAAACTGAACCTTCCCTGTCCCCCTTGCCTGGGGAGGACTTCCCGGGGAACGGCCACACAACTGCCTCACGTCCCGACCCGCTCGAAGCCCCTCCGCCACCCCTCGCCCGGATGGCAGCTCGGGGGCACTGGTCTAGGCTAGGAACAGTAGAAGTGTCTGCGCAGCACTATAGGCCGCTCTTCTACCGTCCTGTGTCGCGAGCGATAGGCACCAAGAGCTCCCCCTCTGACCGCCGCCTGGGGGGCTATAAGGTGCAAGCCGGTCCGTGTCCCGTCTACCCACTTCTACTAGCACCCCCCTAACAACTGTGGGGCGGCCGCCGGCTTCAACCTGGGGTCAGCCTTTTTTCTGGATAAGGTACTGTTGCCACCAGGCGGGCCTGTAACCCTTCACAGTTGTCTAGGCTGGTCAGGTACAGTCCATGACTTTCAGCCCTTCGCCCCCCGACCTCCTGGCCAAGTGCCCTAACAGAGTGGGACGGCCCCCAAGCTATCACTGGCCCACTCGGAGGGCCCTGGGCCTGGTGCACTGGCACCCTACTAGCCTCTGTAGGTCAGGCTCTGGTGTTCAGGCACCCTACTGAGCCTCTTGGGGAGCTGTCGTACTCCGCAATACGAAGTAGGGCGGACGTAGGGGTTGTCAGCTCCAGTCGCTAGGAAATGCTCTCCACCCGCCGAGAGGCAATCAACCCCCTCAGCTACTCCAGACGAGTCCTCTAGAAAGCTGCTCTCCACCTGCTGAGGGGCAAACAGTCCCCCCAGCTACTCCAGTCGAGTCGTGGGCAGTTGCTCTCCACCCGTTGAGAGGTTGTGCAGACCCCTCAACTACTCCAATGTTGTAGTAGAGAACGCTGTCCACCAGCCGAGAGGGTTTATGGACCTCTCAGCTGCTCCTGATGCAAGCAGAAACTTCCAGGTAGGCTCCCTGGAGTGGGGAACCACCTTCCTCCCGAATCCATCACGGTGCAAACTCACAGGACGAAGCACAGGTCACTTGCAGGTCCTGGCAGGTCGCTACTCAGCGCCCCCCCCTCTCGGAGGTCGCTACTCGGGACCCCCGCCCACCGGCAGTACTCGGCGCGGGCGGATTCCCACAGCTTCCCCCCCCGTCACGTCACTCGGCGGGTCAGTCACGCCTGCGTCGACCCCCGCGACCCGGGGTGCCTCCCCCACTCGTTCACTCCGCTCTCTGCGCCCCTCCACGAGCCTGGCGCCCGCCGGCCTGCGTCCCCCGCCGCCGATTCACCGCGCGGGTCCGCGGATCACAACCCCCGCCGCCGGGCCCGGATGCCCCGCGCAAGCGGTGTCCTCCGATTCCCCGATCCGGCGGTCCAATGCCGCGGAATGCGCCCCCCGCCGTCGGGCTCGGCGCTCGGATTCACAAGCCAACGCCTCCCCGCCGTCGGGCTAGGCGCGAGAAGCAGCAGATTGTGCCCCCCTCCTTAGGGCCAGGCACTCGGTCCGGTTCGATTCCCCTGGCCGATTCAGGCGGCGCCGCGAGGCGCCCACCTGGCCGGCCGTCCTCCTTGGATCTCTCGCGAATGGGGGGCCCTCCCGCCGTCGGGCCGGGTCCCCTCGGCTCTCATGCGCCGCGTGGCGCGCTTCCGCTCTCCGCGTCCGCCAGCTCCGAAACCACTGGCGTGGTTGTCGGCTCGATCCGCGGGCGATGTGCCCGCCACGGCGCCCAATCCGGCCGGAATGGCCTCCTCCGCCGAATGACGGCGGGCGGTCCGGGGCGCTCGTTCCTTCGGGGTGCGCAGTGTGGGCCCAGTCCTGCGATTCGCCGGGCACGGGGCGGCAGTGCGCGCAATGGGTGCGCGACGCCGGTGCGGCCTGCGGGTGCAGCCGCGCGGAGGCAAGTGGTCAGCAAGAGTTACAACAAGTCGGGCATCGGGGCCACCCTTTGGCGTGCCCCGCATCACGTGACAATGCAGCCAACGTCACCGTATCGATAGTATCTCATCCCCCAGTACGGTTGTGGAGGCGTCCCTAAGTACTGTAACTTCTAGTAACTATATCTCCACTACCGCTAACCCAAATGGAGTGATTCAAGAACCTATGGGTTCCTAGTAAGCTCTACTAAGAGATGAGATTGTTTTTACTGTTCATTGTACCTCCCAGATACCCATAATCAAAGAAACACACTACCCCCTATGCTTTACACCACATTGACCCTAGCGCCTCTGGAAACTAGGGCTGCCAATGGGGTTACAACAATTATACGCTGATTTGCAGGTTAAGTGTGTGTGGAGCACACTTTGTAACATCTCTCTCGTTGGGTTACGCACTCTCTCACATGCAACCTCCACGTGGTCCTCACTAGGACCCACATCAAGAGTTGTGAATTGTGACCAAGGGGCACTAGCTGATAGGTGCATAGGCGTTCAGTTTGATAGGAGTCTAGCATATTGGTTGGGCGGGTGAATTGCAACAAAGAAGTGCAATTGTGGTAGTGTATGATAAGGTTTTTATGAATGGTGGTTAACTTTGTGAACTAGCAAGTTTTGAACTAACGTTGCTTATTGTAAAAAGTGTCCTAATCCCCAAACGGGTGTCTTGAGAGTTCCAGTAAAGTGAGAGCTGCGATTGTCTTATTTCAAGTGTGTATACATTTATGAATCAACCCTACTCAATTGCTTGTGTGATTGTTTGAGTGTGTACTAGAACCGCAATTCTGACAACAATAAGATACGGGTTCTAAAAGTTTCAAGTGTGTTTGAATGTGGTTTTCATCCTACAATCTATCCCTTAAGCTTTGGTTGGAAGTTTCTTGTAACCCCGGCAGTGATCGATCACACAAGGATGAGGGAAATAGGGCACCGTTTGCATGGCCAGCCACAACTAAAAGATGTAGTAGGCGACAGCAAAAACGGAAGTGTGAAAAGTGTTTTGAAGAAAGGGTTGAGTGGGCATTTCTCATACTAAAATAGGTTATTGTGGAGAAGGTCTAGATTAAGAAAAAAGAATCGCCCTTCATTTGTTGGCGGAACCAGAGTTGCATTAGCTCCCAATTGAATTCGAGTCGTTCGTTGCTACACATTTGCAAGATTGCAATAGGTCCTTCCATGAAGCAGGGGGGTCCATAATGAAAGAGTTGATGGAGGAAGTTTCTGGGCCAGTTGTGGTCATCAAGGAGAGACAAGAATCACTTAGGGGGATGACTGAGCTAACAACGGACATAATCAAGGAGGAAGATAAGATTCTCGATTCTAACGGAGTACCCTTGGGTGAGGGATTTCAAGTAGCTGCACAAAGGGGATTTCAATTGGCCAGTAACTGAACAATGGTGTTTTGGTGTATCTAGATGATATTCTGGTGTGGGCAGCAAAGCCGATAACATTAATTCTTGTTGTTGTGTTTCAACGCCTACAACTATTGATTGGTGATAGGATGTGGGCTCTTTGTACGTTGTTTGTTAGATCCAGGCTTTGTTTTGATTTCGGCATCTCCAGTGGAGAAATCTAAAGTGGCATATAGAATTTTATCTGAAACGTGGAAGTACTAAAGTACTCCCTTTTGGTCAAAAGTGCATGTGCACTTAGATAGAGGAACAAAGAAACTTTGTAACAAGTTTACGGGCAGTTCAAGGGAAGGTGGCACAGAACTTGCTTCAAAAAGGGAATAATAATAGCAGGGGACCTATTCTGAGGCGTGGTTTTATCATAGGAGTGTTCCTTTCATATGTTGTTGTAGTGTATTGGGTGCCATACTACCTAAGGGTTTGGTTCCTTTTAAGTGTCTTCTTTCTTTGACACAAACTCTGGGTTGTGACTAAAGGCCAAAATGGTAGTCACACGGAATGCTTTTCAACAATACGTAAGGGACAGAATTCCTGTTGCCCCTTTTGCTCCACTGTAAAATGTTGCCGTGCACTCGAGCCCACGGTCTCCATGCCTACGTTCATCATTGCCATGCGCACTCCACAGGCCGAGATCGCGAAGCTTCCCCACACTACACCCAAACTAAATGAGCTCCCCAAACTACACGAGCACCCGCCGGGAAGCTGATACCCCGGCGTGACAGCTATGCGCGCTGAGCGTTCCAGGACTGGCGGGTTAGCCCGACAGGGCCTCACCACCCTGGCATTCTGGCACCCTGCCCTGGCCCCCGGCGGCAACACCTCCAGTGCCCCCATGGCCACCGACGGCGGCGAGGGCGCCCCGGAGGCGCCGGCCACGCGCTCTGGCGCCCGCCCGCTGCCGCCGGCCAGGCCCCCGGCACCGGAGTCGGTCGAGGGATCCCGGCGCAAGGCCTTCAACGCGCGCTTCGCCGCGATGCGGAAGGACTTCTTCGGGCGCAAGCGCGCGCGGATGACGTCTGAGATCGAGGCGGCGCACGTGGCGATCGCGGCACTGGTGGAGAGGGTGGGATCGGCGCTGCGGGAGCGGCCCACAGCGCCGCTAAGCGCGTCCGCTCAGTCGGAGCCGGGGGACGACAAGAGGGCCGGCCGGTCGAAGTCGGGGGTCGGGGATGGGAGGGGGGGGGAAGGGGAGAGCGGGAGGGAGGAGGAGGCGGCCACGTGGAGCGTAAGCGACGCGGGACCGGAGGAGGGTCGGCGGGACCCCTGGCAGCTGCCGCTGAACAAGCTGGTGCGCGTACGGGTGCGGTCGGCGGGTAAGAAGGGCGGCTGGCAGCGGCTGCAGTTCAGGGCGAACCGTATCCCCCGGTGCAACACCATCCCTCCGTACTCTTCGTGGATGTACATCACGAAGAACGCCGCCAACCAGGACAACGACAAGAGGATGTTCTACACCGACGAGACGGGGGAGAGCGTGCCCGCCAGCGACGAGCACGGGGAGAGCTGGGCGTCGTGGATGTGGAACGGGTACGATTCCGACTGGCGGGTGTTCTGCGTGGAAAGGATGGTAGAGGAGGCGCTGGAGGGCGGGGAGGGGCGGGGGCCGGTGGTGGGCCTGCTGGCGGACAAGTTCAAGGTGGAGGCGGAGATCGTGGAGGCCAGGGCCAGGGAGGTGGAGAAGAGGCGGCTGCCCAAGCCGGAGGTGGAGGACCTGGCGGTCGAGGAGACCCTGTACAAGGTGAAAGGGTTCTGCAGGAGG